GTGCACCATTCGTAAAAGCAGCAGCCTATCTGGAGAAGAAATATCATGTCAAGCACATCAGGATAAGTGGCTACAACTCACATGTGAACGGAATAGTTGAGCGGCCGCATTTTGATGTTCAGCAAGGTCTATTCAAGGCTGCCGATGGAGAAGAGTGCAAATGGAGTCAAGTCGCGCATTCAGTTTTCTGGTCGGAAAGAGTCACAGTTAGAAGACTCATGGGTTGTTCACCCTATTTCGCCCTCACAGGCACTCATCCAGTCTTACCGCTTAACATCATTGAAGCAACATACTTGATTCCAGCACCAGTCGTGATGGTGATCACGACTGACCTAATCGTGAGTCGAGCTAAAGCATTGCAGAAGCGCTGTGAACAGGTCGCAAGAATCCACAATGCGGTCTATGAAGCCAGAAGAGAAGCAGCCAGATGATTCAAGCAAGTGCACAAGCATGCAATCAAGGATTTTGATTGCAAGCGTGAGGATCTAGTCTTGGTTCAGCATATGCAGATCAAGAAGGCACTCAATCGAAAAATGAGACCATGCTATATTGGACTGTATATTGTGCTGTTTCGTAATCGGGGAGGAGCATATGTGCTCTGCAAGTTATATTAAGCAGTATTGGACTGACCGATTGTGGCATTTAGGGTGGTACCATTTGCCGCTAGGAAGAAGATCGCGATCACGGAAGAAATGTTGGACGCATCGAAAATCAGGTTGAAGGAGATGCATCAGTCGGATGATCAAGGAGAAGAAGAACCGGATGAAGAACAAGAAGATGAGGAGTCAGGAGATAAAGATGAAGGACTGCAAGATCTGTACAATGCAAATGAGTCAGAAGAGACAAGTCTAGGGAATCGAACTAATTATTCAATCATATATAGGTGAGGACTCGGCTAGGGACTCAGGAGAGTCAAGGACTCGGACAAGACTACAATATTCTGCAACACGCATCTCTTAATATTTTGGTCAAGATAGCTCCTGCAAGGTTTTCAGCACACAGTTTATTCAAGATATCTAACTAATACATTTGCTCCGCACGCACGGAGGGAGATATCACGATAGAGGTATGAAGAACTATGCGAACAGCCCGCTTTGTGTTGCCCTAGCCCAAACCCATCATGCACCAACAAAATCATAACTGGTGAGCCCTCAGGGCCCGATTCTCCTCAAGGAGCTGCTGCGATAGCTCATCATCCGTTCGAGTTGCATACTGGCTGCAGAAGGCTCAATGGTGGCTGGCAAAGCACTAACTGGCTCTAACTTCACAGTCATGGCCTTGAAAGAGCCCTGTGCATGAGCCTTGCCTTTCAATGAGCATGACTTGAGCATCTTGGTCAAAGGAACAACAATGGTGCCAGCATGAAAATGTTGTGTCATGATGTCGTCCAGGTCGGAGTCATCAAAGTAAGGACATTTGGAAGGTCTGTCGAATTGGCCTAGCGAAACTGTTAGCAAGGAAGTAACAAGGCAACATAAAATCGCACCACGCGGCAGTTGAGGAATCACCAATTTATGACGTGAAGGACTGGCAGTGTCCTTCTCCTGCTTGATGGGAACTTCCTCAGTCACATCCTCGACCTCCAACCCTGTCTCAGGCATGGGCATGTCTGGCAGAGAGTGAACCAGGACTAGAGGGCAGTTGATCAGTAAAAGATGAGATAGAGAATAGAGAAAAACTCACGAAGGTGTGGAGCCATGGCAAGCACAGCCTCGTACTCGTCGATTGGGGTATTGAGTGGCAACTTCAGCTCAGCAGCCTTCTCACTCCCAGCAAGGTTGGTGTCACGTATCAGCCAATTGTAGCTAACCTGGTGGTGGGAAGCCTTGACCATCACGGAAGCATTAGGTAGCTTGGGTACTGGCCAGCCCTTGCACCGGTAGAGCTTCTTCAGAGAGAGCCATCCATCAAAGTCGTTAACATTCAGAGCTGTGTCGCACATTCACCATTTGCAGGCCTTGTGGTCATGATGGCATTTGCGACATTTAGGATGAAACTCACTCAGAGTATATGTTCAGGAGACCTTCTCCGAGGACAGGCAGTACTGACACTAAGAAAGAAAGAGTTAGCAACAGGTGGTGAAGAAACCATGCAGAAACTTACCAGGCACATGATAGAAGGCTTCTGCCACAATGGAAGGTACGTTGGTGGAAGGGAGCAGTTGTGGAAGGTGCAGACTGGCATATGCACGTACTGGTTCTCGAAAGCTACCATCACGATGGACGGCTTTGCAGGTTTGTGACCGTGTCCTTTGCCTTTCTTCGGACACACTGGAGACAGATTGGGAAGAGTCCCACCCATGAATTCGACTTCGTCACTGTCACTGTCATCCTCGTTATTGCTAGAGACCGCAATAGCCTCAGAGCCTTGTGTGGAAGGGGGTTCAGTGACCACCATGGTGAGCGGAGGGTCAACTTCCATAGCCACAGTATCAGTGTTGGAAGGAGGGTCAATAGCAACCGGGTTTGCTGCACGGGCCTGAAACTCAAACTTCGGGACAGGAACACCCAGAGCAATGGGAGCTGCAACAGGCACAGCTACTGCAGAAGAAGAGGATGGAGCAGCAGCAGGAAGGGAGTCATCAGCACCAGTAGAAGTGGTCGGAGAGTTGGAAGCC